CACCACCACGCCCAGCTAATTTTTTGTATTTTTAGTAGAGACGGGGTTTCACCATGTTGACCAGGATGGTCTCGATCTCTTGACCTCGTGATCCAGCCGCCTCGGCCTCCCACAGTGCTGGGATTACAGGCTTGAGCCACCGCGCCCGGCCTCAACTACTTTTTTAAGACATAGTCTAAAGGTCATATTTACAACGTGAGCCTTCCTGATACCTCTGCTCCCTGAGGAAGAACAGATTACTCCCCTGTCAACAGTCAGCTCAGCACCCTGAAATGCTTTGTGGAATACTCTGCACTGGATCAGGCACCCCGAAAAATGCTTGATAACTAGTAGCCATTATTGTTGTCGCTGCTGCTGTTGTCCCATTCTAATACGTGTCTCACCGGATCATAACGATCTTTTCTCCCCCCTCCCACTTAAATAACCATGGGCTCTTAGATGGCAGGGACCCAGGCCGGGTGCAGTGGCCCACACCTGTAATCCCAGCACTTCAGGAGGCCAAGACCGGTGGATCACCTGTTGTCAGGAGTTCGAGACCAGCCTGGCCAACATGGTGAAACCCTGTCTCTAAAAATATAAAAAATTAGCCAGGCATGGTGGCACACGCCTGAAATCCCAGCTACTCTGGAGGCCAAGGCAGGAGAATCTCTTGAACCTGGATGACGGAGGTTGCAGTGAGTTGAGGTTGCACCATTGCACTCCAGCCTGGGCAATAAGAGCAAAACGTCATCTAAAGAAAAGGAAAGAAAAGAAAAGAGAAAGAAGGAAGGAGGGAAAGAAGGAAGGAAGGAAGGAAGGGAGGGAGGGAGGGAGGGAGGGAGGGAGGGAGGGAGGAAAGAAAGGAAAGAAAGGAAGAAAACAAAGCAGGGACCCAGTTCATCCATCTTTGGATGTTCAGGTCCAAGCCTACTCCTGTCCCACAGAGTGCCCGGTACAGAATAGGTGATAAACGCAGGTTGAATCCCACTGCCTTCCTTTCCATCTACCTGTCTGTATGATGGGGATATTGAAGCTTCCAGCTCCCACCTAGGAGTTAGAGGAGAGCCCTGGGCCCTGCCAGGGAAGACGCGGGGTGGGGTCATTACTTACGCTGTGCCACCTCTCGCTGCTTGCGGACGTACCAGGTGTACAGGGCGGCCCGCTTCTGCGTCTTCATGGGAGTGCCCTTGTTGAGGTGTTGGGACAGGTGGGACTGGTTTAGGCCAGTGGTGTCGACCACCTCCCGCTGTGGGATGTTGTGCTGCTGCAGGTAGGACTTGACCATCTTCGCCACGCGCCATGGGTCCTCCCTGGAGGAGGGCAAGGACAGGGTCTGCTCAGCAGGGTGTCCCTCACCATAAGTGGGGCTGGGGTCCTGCGTGCTGAATCCTTGTCAGCCCTGAGGGTGGGGACTGTACAAGAAAGCAGATATGGAGCCCAGGGGCCTACACCTGGACTGAGGGACAGGGAGGTATGGCCATTTATGCCAGGACACAGGGACACAGACACATGGTCATGAGGACAGAGACTTGTAGGTGCACACATATGACAAACGTAGACACAGGCCTATGGACACACAGACACTGGAACAGATAAAGGTTTAGAAACATGGATACACAGATGCATGGACACAGATGAAGATATGTGGATAGATGGATGGATGGCTGAATAGATGGATGGGTGGATGGATGGATGGGAGGATGGATGGATGGATGGGTGGATGGATGGATGGATGGGTGGATGGATGGATGG